TTTGGATTTGGGGGCGTACTTCCACTTAGGTGCCCCTTCCGTATCCAGTAGACTGTTCCCTTGGTCCGTGGGCCTTGGCAAAGACAGACAATTCTGTGAACGTGCTGCCTACTTAACGAACAATAGGCTGCTCTGAGGGAGTGAACTTGCCATTCTACGCAGACTTTTGGTCCTTATCATTGTCCAGCAGCTGAGGTCCTGCATAGTATCTCTAGGTTACAGGGAGACTACCTATTCGGCAATCAATTTGTCGAGCTTTGCGACCAAACAAGGAAACAGGCCATGATAGTTTAATGGCAAGATGTCGGCTGGAGCTATGTCACCAGCATTAGGAAGCACCAGTCTTTCCAGCAGCTGTTGGCAGCATGTCTGAAGAGTTCATCAGCCTCTGAAAAGTTATAGCATAACTAAATGGTCACTCAGTATTTGCCAAAGGGCCCGCACTCGAAACAATCCAAATGGATGTGCCCGAAACAAAAAATCAAAACATTGAGGCCATGCGGTAAAATACAATTATCGGGCACAACAGTGGGTCGAGGAAGATAGCATTCTCTACGTCTTTCCTTTGGACATGGTGATCCCGATTCCAATGCAGCAACTGGAGATCTCACCGTGGCCACAGCTCCTTTCTGTGCCTTGTACCAATCCGAAGGGGCCTGAGTTCATTGATGCGCGGAAGTACTTCCATCAACCTTTAACATGGTCCTTGACCCTCGTTGAGAAATCTTGCGATGTCCTAAAGGGTGGCTTGTCCGAGAGGCTGGTCTGTACGAGAACTTATTTGCCAGAAAATCGTGCCAGCTACCAGTCACTAATTGTTGGCGCCCATGGAGTTAGCGCTGCTCTGTGCTAATAATTTTGGAGTCACACTTGTAGTCCAAAAACTCGATCCGTAGGCCATGGGCCTTGGCAGAAAAAAGCAAGACAGTTCACGAGCTGCTTACTTGGCGCACAGGTATGCGATTATCGCAAACCAATGCCTGGTGCTCTAGTTAAACTCCATTCAGGACACCAGCGCCAAGACTTGCTGACCACAAAGAGCTTCAAAGCTGCATACCGCTGTCTGGTATATGGGGCAGGCAAAGGCTGTTTCGGCGCAAATTAAGTACAGAACACTATTATGGCACCGGGTCGGAGCAGTGTACCGCATATCAGAGTAGTAGTTAAGAATCTCGCTATTACCCAAGGTACCCTTGGGAACAGCAGCTGTCCTACACTGCTAGCCCTCGAGGCTCTATCAAGCTCTGAGTATGAGGTGCAATGGGCGGCGAGAGCACTGTCTACTTGAACCTGGCTACACTGAAGGTCCTACCGGCTCAATTACACTGCACGAGGGAGGCGTCATCGTGGTACTTCTCTGTCCTGCGTCGGTGGTGCATGGCCATTGATCTTCCGCGGTGTCGTGTGGAAAGTGATGTCCATCACCCGGGAGGAACCCTCATTCATGGGACAATTCTGCGGAATTTCGTATAATCACTTGAATATTTTGCAACTCAGGCTAAGATAGTGCGCCGGCTGGCAAGATGATAGTGGGAAAACAACTCTAAGCATAGGCGTTGCTCAGCTTGGCGATGCTGCCAACACGGCAATAACTATCAGGAAACAGGCCCTCTTAGATGTGGTAAACTGAACTAATGACAATTGGGCAAGAGTTATTTCTAGGACAAACTTATCCATTTGGCCAGTTGAATGGAACATCCACACGCAGGGTTAGCTACAAGGTGGAAGACTAATGGTTGAAAGCTTGGGTAGTGTGCTGATGGCAACCATTATGGTTGGAGCAGAGAAAGTATATCTTTCCCTGGGACGTGCGAATCAGCCTAACTACCCAGCATTTGCTGGCATCTGAGCATGGACAGGGAGTGTCATCCATTCGTTTTTACTATGAGATGCTTCATTCGAAAAGGTACCAATTTAAGAGGCAAGTAGCGCTGAAAGGCCGTGTTACTCAGCGTGAGCTACTGCACCTAACCATTGGTACGGCACTTGAATAAAAAGGCCCGACGCAAATAGGACTCCAATAACTAACCTAGTAGCTTGTAATTGTGAAGTGGACTACAATGCGCAGGTAGATCGGAGGGTCAGAGAATGTGGCATGGTACAGGACTTACCTACTGACAAACAGAAAAAGAGATTCAAAGACAATTAGGATTGCAGCCTTAGTGACTCGAGGCAGGGCACTGAAAACTTTTTCCATTACTTTTTCCATTACCCAAGGTACCCTTGGGAACAGAAAGGGTCGCATGGCAGTTGCATGGTGATGGTCTCACCGCTAGTCCATCCTCTCAGGGTAAATTGTTGCGCACTCTGCTGCACGATGCCTGTGTTTGCTGAGGAGCTGGAGTACAGGGAGCATTATTATTCTCTCTTTTTTTTTCCCCCACATCCCACCGTTTCCCCTGGGTGGGAAGTGGATTCCCTCTGGACGCCCAGAAAGAGGCAAACAGGAGGTCAAAACAGAGTGAAGCTATACTGCGAGATGTACCTTTAGTCAACTGTGAGGTGGACATGGTCGTGTTGAGCAGTTACTACAGCCTAGCAACCTAATAGCGTTTGCAGATTGATATTCAGGCTTAGCTGAGTCTCCGCGAGCGGCTGAAACCGGGTCCTGTCTGTAGGACCACTTAATCCCTTGGAAGTGCCATATCATGAGTGGGCAGCAGGAAGTCGCCCATAATTTAGAGTCCTCCAGGCAAAAGCTGGTGCGCATGTGACACTTCAAGCCAGTTTGCTGAATTATGGAAAGGGTCTCCTATTATTCAAGGCAAGTGGTTCAGGATTAAGATGTCCTCATGGGTCTTGTGCAGGTGGGGAGGGCTACCCAGGGTACCCCTGGGAGCCCCCCCCCACTTGACCTGACCAGTGTTCATGAGGCATAAGAACTAAATGACCGGGGGATGGGTACAAATAAGGTAGTGAGCTGATGAGCGTTACTTGGCGGTCACAGGAGGTCTCAAACAGCAATAACTACGCTGCAGCAGCCTGAAGCTGCCTGGGCAGTGGCAGGCCGTTTGCCTAAGGGTTGGGTCTCCTTCTGCAAGATCACGTCAACTTGGTGGGTTGTAGCTTTATACTTCTGGGTGACTATGATGGAGTAAATCCTGAAGCTCATTATTAGGGGTTGCATTAGTCCCTGATAGGTGAGCAACCGAGAAACAGTTGTTTTGTGGTCACCGAGGCAGCAACAGAGTCCAGGCGGACGTTTTAACTCCCTCCCGTCGCACGTTCGCGTCGAGCACGCAGTTTGGCAAGGGCTTCCAAGGGGGTGGCGTAGATGTGTGGCGATCCTTGAACACTGCGCTGTTTACGTTGGGAACTGTGGGGTGCTCGACGGGCGAGGGATAGGGCATGGCTACTGGCACTATGCTTGAGGGTGTCTACGTATGCATTGTGCGCCGTGTGAAGAGAGGTGAATTTGAACCATGTCTGACCAAAGTAAAGCTGATGCTTGGACAGAACTTCCTTCTCGATCTGCCTTACCATTTGTTCAGGAGGCGGGGGAGCAACCAAGAAACCATCATGCAGCCATACCAAGGATTGTGTTGGGTGGCGAGCAATGAGTGCACGAATGGTGTCCTCGACAATTGTGGCTTCAAAGTACTCTAGCAATCGAAAGGCGCTGTCGTTATGGTTGACCAGGAACTCTGGGCGGAAACGCGGTAGCAACTGAGTAGTCAGGGTTGTACTCAAAGACCCTAGTTGGCAGAGGATTGCGCTTACACTCGCACTGGGGGAGTCATCAACCAGAGAGCTTAGATATCGGTGTACAGGTATAGTACTAAAGTATCCACCCAAAACCCTCCCAACTAATCACAAATACACCGGGGAAGGAATGGAATATACGCGGAAACAACCCTCGCGCATTACGCTCTATGTGTGGCAATATTTTTCATATTTCCCACGACCTTTGTGTTTCTGATGTCTGCTTCACCTTCAAACCGGGTGATTTACCGAGCAGCATCCTATCCCGGGTCTGGGTGGGTGGGACACTTTTGGTCTCCAACCCATTTTGATCCACTACTTGTGACGGAACATAACATAAAATGAAGTTTCCATTCTTTCAATAATTGTTTTCCATCCCGGAAATTTCAAAAGAATAAATTTCAGAAAAATAAGTTCTGAGAATTTTCACAAAGTCGGTTCTTGATTCAAACCTTGAACCTTCAACCTTTCCATAAGTGGCCTCATAATACCGGTGAGCTTTTCCAACCCAATAAGGGTAAAGTAAATTTCACATTTGTGTTTGGTGTTTGTTTGAAGTTTGAGTTCCGCAAGAAAACTTCCGAGTTACTCTTCCACGCGCGGAAACCCAAAGACAACAACACCGGGACGCAACCAAAACCGTGTGCGCCACAAGACCGGGGTCAACCCAACAGAGGAAAGGAAAAACCCAAAACCACGCGAGCGCAAGCGCACAACCGCGTAAGAACAACCGAGTACTAACCAATACACTATCGCAACAAGTCGCGAGTGCGTACAGGTATAGTACTAAAGTATCCACCCAAAACCCTCCCAACTAATCACAAATACACCGGGGAAGGAATGGAATATACGCGGAAACAACCCTCGCGCATTACGCTCTATGTGTGGCAATATTTTTCATATTTCTTCAATTATATATCTCTTATATATAAACTCAAAACCAAAACCAAAAACCGAGAAACATGCAACAACATCACTGCCGTCTGACAACTGAAGCAACTGACATGTGTTTCGTTTGTTTTGCATTCCGAGCGCACTTTAAAATTTATTCTTTTTGCTTCTTTAGATTATTTGTCGAGGTTGGTGTTTCCCACGACCTTTGTGTTTCTGATGTCTGCTTCACCTTCAAACCGGGTGATTTACCGAGCAGCATCCTATCCCATTTGCAAAACGAGGGATTCACCAAGGTTCTATTCGCCTCTTTTTGTTGGCTCTTTTCTGAACACCCTTCGGTGTAGAAACAGGACTCTTTCGCTTCCTCTCTTTTGCCAACTCCTCGTGAAACTCCTGTGCTTTTTTCAAAAGGCTGTCCAGCACCAACCATTTGTATCTCCTCCGACCAACCTGACTCTAAGCTCCATGGGGAAATGGTCAAACTTTTCATTGGTCAAATCGTCCGCAAGTTGATTCTTCTCTCTCGGTACCCATTCTAAACAAAGTTCACAATCTCTAGTGCGCAACGTCTCTGAAAGTTCCATGATCAAGACTGTAAGTGGATACTTGGTGCTCATCCACTTGCTAACCGCATAAGCATTGGAGAGATTGTCTGTACTCCCCTTGATCCAGCACTTGCCACGTCCACCTTTGGATAGACCCCTCGCCCACAACCTCGCAGCTATGAGCGTTGCTAACATCTCAAGTGCAGCAATGACCCGCTTTGGATCGCCACGGATGAACAACCAAGGTGCCCATTCGGTCTTGACCTCTTCAGAGAACCACTCCGCTATACTACCATCCTTGGCCTGAAGAAAACCTCCAATCCAAGCTCCACATTCTGTCGCCTTTGCATCTGTATAGAAGATAACATCATCTCCTTCACCATCTCTAAGGGGCGGTGGCTCCTGTAAACTGCCACCATCTCGCGTTCTGTCAGCCAAAAACCAAAGAATAGTCCTCAGCATAGTGGGAATACGCAACAAACCAGTTTTGTTCCTTATTGCCGCCGTCCAAGAATAAAGAGGTCCCAGGAAAGGTCGCTCCCAAGTCAAAGCATTTGCTGCGAATCCCAGTCTCCCCAAACCTTGCTCCATCTCCTTCGCTGTAACCTTGCCCACAGTGGCTAGCTTGCGAGTCCAACTTCCCATCCATGCCGCCCTCTTTGGAGAAAGTCCCAATTTCATGGTTGTGTAATCGGTGAAAAGTCCAATCCACTCGACCTTCAGTCCACCGCGTTGCTTCGACCATTTGAAAGGGAAACCAAGTGTTGACAAGAATAAGAAAGAAAGAGCAATGCCACGCCTGCCACCAACTCCAGCCCCCAACGATTCCAAGTCGTCCGCAAAGATCAGCATCTCAATCGGCATCTCGGGTCCCAAGAGTTCATGCACCAGTCTGATGCCTGAACCAGCTAGTCTGCCCCACCAGTAACTCGCTGAGGCAACCCCAAAAGTTCCAACTTTGTTCACAAAGATGAAGTTGTCAGAGTGCTTGACCCGACATGCTAATAGACCGTGCTCCGCCGGATCATGAAGGAATCTCCTGTGAGCTTTGCTGATATCACCAACCAAGCTGAAAACAACGTCACCCCGCTTCTTGTAGTAGGATAACAGATAACGTTTTTCTCTAGCTCCAGGGCTTCGTTGTTTGTCTCTGCACTTGATCCTATTGTTGATTTTCGTGCCATGTGTAGCATCATGTATGATCCTCCGCTTGTTGCCATGTGATTCTTCCACAAGCACTGCCAAAGAAGAGATTGCAATTTTGTCGCCATAACGTTGTTTGGCCTGCTCTAGTGTCAGTTTCTCCATCAAGCCTTCTTCGCACTCCTCCTCGAAATGCTGTCTCACAAATTCCTCGTGGTCCCCCACTGACTCGTAGTTGTCTCGCCATACTTCTGCTTTCATGTATGGATCGTCCTCAAGTTTCCAGGATGTTTGCTCCTCATACATGTGAGGCGTTCTCGGTAAGGGTCTAAGCACCCCCACCGGAAAACCTTTCTCCCCTTCCAATAAAAACTTGTGGTCAGGATCTCCCGCTTTGTCCAAAAGAGCTTCCATCAGTCTAAGGCGGAAGGGTTGTCCATGAGCCACATCTGTGAGGCCCTGTTCACTGACCCCTTCCCTCAACAAGCTCTCCTTCCAAAGCTCCACCAAACGCTGTTCCAACACTTTGTCTTTCATGAGGTCACAACCGGCCTCCCCCTTTGCCGCCATCTCGAAACACATTCGATCCAGCTTCTGTAGCCCTCCGCAACTTTGCAAAACAAGCTCCACTGTCGCCTTCCGCAAGTTGTTCCAAAAGGGTGTATTGTTCCAAACGCGTTTCTCTATGTCCCATCTACCAGGTGAAGCCAAACCACATCCATCATGGAACATCCGTGACTTTCCAAGTGTTTCACATTTTCTAGCTTCCCCTTCTCCTCCAGAAACTTTCCAACCTTCTGCACATGTTGTGGGATATTCCTCAACAACTTGAGGTGATGGCTGTTGTTGCACTCCATTTGCAGTGTCCTCCTCCTTTCCGAAGGCATTAATGGAGTGCTTTTTGAGCCAGTATTTGAGCAATTGACTGGCTACCCATCTGCAAAATTGACTGGGCCATTGTTCTGTACCAGCTGTTGTAAACTTGCCATTGCTGTGACCTATCAACGCCATTTGAGAACTGCGTCGCTGTAATGGTCCCGTATAGAATCCCTGATCGTCAAAACAAGGCTTCCCAAAAACGAATGCTTCCAAGTCAGTAGAAACATTTTTCAAGAGTAGCCTTGTAGGCTTGAGATATTCCGTTCCAAAGTCTTGTTGATAGAAAGCGCAAGTCTCAAAGTCTCCAGAATCTAGGAGTTCACTAAACTCAGGCCACTGCCACATGCTAGCTGGGCGCTGTCCCAGAAAAGGTCCTTGCTGAACTGCTCCAAGGTCCTCTGGGTTCTCGAAAATAACCACAGTATCTGTCTTGCGCACTGCCTTGCAAACTGTAAACGAAAAATCAGTCAAACCATTTCCCCACATCGCCTTTTTCCTTTCGGTCCATGTCAGCCTCGGCAGCCCTCGTAAATGCACAAACGTACGCACAGGTCTAGGCCCCCTTTTGTTTGAAAAGGTGGCTCTGGTGAAAGTTGAACATGGAGGACTCAAAATGATGGCAGCATAGTATCCAGCCCTAATCTTGTTTAACAACGATTGCTGAACGGAAGGCTTTGTCACATCCAAATGCGGCCGCACTCTAATGTCCACCATATCAATCTGAACCTTGACATTCCACTTAGTGGCAAGCTTCCTTGTCCAATGACTGACTGATCCCTTACGGGTGCATCCAGAAAACAAGTAAAGCACCTTGCAAACATCTGTATTCTGTGAAACTGTCTGCTCATCCTTGTCCCAAAGTCAGGTTCCCGTGGTATCGGGAGTGGGCTTGTCCTTGCAATTGAGTGCGTTGTGCCCCGTCTTGAAACACTTGTTGCACATGTGCACGAACTTGCATCCTTTGTAGTTGCATTTGCCTGAATTGAAACGATAGCAGATCTTTTCTCCGTTTGGTCCTTGTCCCGAACCTGAACCCTTTTGTCCTCCCTTAGTTGTGGACTTCGACTTGCCTTTGCCTTTCCCCTTGGGGTTCCATGTTCCTGTACCTGGATTGGCGCTCGGTGCATAAGATCTCTTTGAGTACAAAGCCAAAGGTGTGATGAAATGGCGTTCCTTTGTCGTGGGACATTTCCAAGCTTTCTCAAGTGCTGCTCCTAACATCAATCTCTCTGACAACATGAGACTGTATGCACGTTTCCGCACTGCATGTTCATATGAAAGTACCAATCCCCAAGGAGGTGTTTGTATCTGCTGCCCATTGAGATCTGTTGAAGAAAGGCCCCAGACGTAATCGCCAAGAATATAATCTTTATACTTATCGAACACATCCTTGCTGACGTCCTGAATCTCTTCCCTTCCAACATGTTTCATTGACAACATCATCAAGCAATTCTGCATCACACTGAGGCGGCGTCTGAGTTGTTCTGGGCCTGTAGGCATAGGAACCGTAGTGCTCCCCTTCTTCACTGACAAGCTGCCCTTGCTGTCAAACACAGGAACCAACACATCAGGATCTATCTCATCTTTCGAAACCACTTCGGCCAATGTTTCGGCACGAAATTCTCCATTCTCCAGCTCCTGCAGCTTCTTCTCTAGATACTCTGTCGATGGCATGACTCGGTCCTCCACTATGCCCACGTTCTTCTGGAAGTAGTTTCTCAACTGAACGTAGTCTCCAGTCGGTATCGGCTTTGTCCACTCTCTAGAATTCATCTCAGCCTCCACCTCAGCCTGGCGCTTTGCTTTTGTGACTGTCTCTTTCCAAGAGCATATGATCGCTGCTACCTTTGCACGATCCTGCAATGATGCAGCTGCATCCACATTGAAATCCGTCCTCAAAACGTTGATGAGGTCAGCTTCGTCCCTGAAGAAGGATGAAAACTTGTTGACATTCGTGACCCCATTCTCAAAGAAATGTGCCTGCATCTCCTCAGGAACATCGTTGCGACCAAGCGTAAATCTCAAATCAGAGCTTCCCAATCTCAATGACTCCGCAAGGGTCCGTGGCCCTATCACTGGTGCAACTGCCATCGCAGCAAAGGTCCCGCAGTTAACGCGAGTGAGGTTGTTCAAAGTAAAAATCTGTGTTCACTGCCAATGCCAAAAGTTTCAAGTGCCGTTCCAGAAGTTTGCAAAAACATCCCAAAATTCATCAAGTGCTTCAACCCCAAATCCAAAGAAAGGTTTCACAACAACTTCCTACCCCTCATGTAATGAAAGTTCAATCAACAAATGCTGAAACTCGCATGTTTTCTGTGCATCTCTGAGCTTTCTCTGAGCCATGTACCGGGAATCTGCGGATTCCTTGACTCTGATCTTTTCTCCGGTCCTTCTATTCCGGGACAATGTTTCTCTGCATCTTCTCAAATGACTCTCAACTTTTCAAATCAATCCATTCCGGTCAGGACTAATATGAATGAAATGCCGGTCCTGACAAAACTTTCATGCACTACAATTCAGAAATTGCAATTTTCCTCTCGGTTTGGATCAAATGACAGACCCCAGGAAGTCATGAAAGTACCTCCTAAACGTGGGGAAAACTGGCACCATCTATGGACTTCGTGGGGTCAGATTCTGCATGCGCATCAAATGGGAAAATTGCCATTCAGAGATGCCCCCCATTCTGCGAGATGTGACAAACACATGGTTTTTTTCTTCCATCATGCCTTTGGCATGACAAGGACCGGATCTTTGCCCTAAATCCCTAGTGAACCATGTGAAATGAAACACGCACGAATTATCAGACATGAGGCAAGTGAGAATGACGAAATGCAAGAACAAATCAACTATCTGAGCTCCCACTGGATGATGAAGACCCATTCGAATCGTCCGAAGACGTCTCACCTGAACTGTCCTCCTTCTCTGCAGGTTTTGGCCAACAAATTCTGCAAACATGTGTGAACTCCGTGTCTGGCGGCTTGTCCTCATACTCAGCTGACTCTTTGAATATTTTCTCACGAGCCATCCAGCAACCACCTTTTGCCTTATGCAGCCTCTTGCAATTTCTGCCTGTAGTGACAATGATGTATCCAGTTTCCCTCTGCGCCTTTGATTCCAGTCTGTCATCTCCGGTAGTCTCCAGGTCTGCGACATCAAAGTCTTCTGACATGGGCTCTGGATTTGCAAAAGTCCCTACAGGTTCCTGCACTGCAAAGGAATCAAGTGTTGACATCAACGTATGCACCAAGTCTGCCCTTTCATCATCCGAAATCTCTGATTTCCTGTCACGCAACCACGCATCCGCACTCTCAATGATATCTATCTCATCCAACAACGTGTAGCGGTCATGTTTTCTCAACGTCTTGCTGTACTTGGCTTGCAACTGTGAAACCAAACCGTTGTATGCCCTTACATAAGTGTCTCTGGCCTCAGGCTTCCAACGACCTACCAAGTCCTTCTGAGCTCCCTGAACTCCCAGCATCGCCAAAGCAGTCGGTAACGTTGCTCTCTCACTGTGCTCTGTCCAAAAAGAAGCGAAGTCTTCAGGAAACAAAGGATTGATGTCATAGTGGCTTACCAAATGTTTTCTCAGCCTACAGGAATATGCAGTGACATCCTGATATGTGGCGTACCTCTGCATGAAGCCGCCCCAATCAGCTGTAAGTTTCGGCAGTAAATAGTCCCTGTCAAAGTCTGCATAGGTCTTCAGTAGCTGAAACCCTTGAGGAATCCAATCAGAGTCCCAGACAAAAGCTTGCTCCGAAATGCAAACTGGCAACTCCTGAACACGCTTTCCAGGCCCTGAAGTCTTTGTAACACGCAAAGTGGTTGTCAACCTACCACCTGTCAGATGCAAATCACCAGGCTTGATTTTCTGCATGTCGTCATAGCGCAATGCTCCCCAAATCTTCAGAAGCTTAACCCATGCCATGATTCTCATGCCAACTAACTCATTTGTATCAAGAACCAATGACTCCAAGGCTTCGACTGCAACTGCCGGATAACGTGGAGCCCTTCTGACAGGCGGTGCATCTGCTGACAACTTCTCAGTCAAATAGTCCCTAATCTGAATCACTGCACGAGACAACGCAACTGTGTCTGAAGTATCAAAGCCAGCTGTTTTCTCAAACCATGCAACTGCCTTACAAATGAAATTTGGTACTGTAGCTCCGCACGGCTCATCAAAGCGATTGAAGAGATACTCACAGAACATGCCAGGATGGACAAAAACATCGCTTCCCCAGGTGTTTAGTTTCCAAGTCTGCCAATCTCTCCATGCCTTTATGTAACGTTTCAAAGTGCTAGGACGTGTCTTGCCGGCAATAGCCACATGCACTCTTGACTGGTTGACGCAAATCTCCATCCCATTAAGTATTGGTGCCTGAACCTTCATGAGCTCTTTATACAACTCCTTTGACCATCTGTCTTTCAAAGCATTCTCATGTTCTTGCTTCGCCTCTGTCTGGTCCCTCAATGCACGCTGCTTTGCACTGAGTGGTGTCCAAAGAAAGTCCATATCCTTTGAAGTCCTACCCAAACCAGAACCTGAAGAGGAACTTGACCTTGAGAAATGCTGTTGACTGAGGCTTCCAACGACCAACGGATCCTGCTGATGGTCACCACGGAGACGTTTCTGAAAAGGCTCTGCAGAACTGACAGAAAGAATCCAACCTAAAACCAAATCCTCATGCCACGACTCACAAATGACTCCAAGTTGTTCACAAATCTGTCTAGCTATCAACGAAGATTCATCTGCACCAAAAACTGAAAGTTTCTTTGCATCCAGTCCACTCTTCACTAAGACCCGCCACATGGCTTGCTCAAGCTCTGCCCCCTCCATAGGGTGCACAAGTGCGCCACGCTCAGCCGATCTTGCAAGACACTTTTGGTCTCCAACCCATTTTGATCCACTACTTGTGACGGAACATAACATAAAATGAAGTTTCCATTCTTTCAATAATTGTTTTCCATCCCGGAAATTTCAAAAGAATAAATTTCAGAAAAATAAGTTCTGAGAATTTTCACAAAGTTGGTTCTTGATTCAAACCTTGAACCTTCAACCTTTCCATAAGTGGCCTCACAATACCGGTGAGCTTTTCCAACCCAATAAGGGTAAAGTAAATTTCACATTTGTGTTTGGTGTTTGTTTGAAGTTTGAGTTCCGCAAGAAAACTTCCGAGTTACTCTTCCACGCGCGGAAACCCAAAGACAACAACACCGGGACGCAACCAAAACCGTGTGCGCCACAAGACCGGGGTCAACCCAACAGAGGAAAGGAAAAACCCAAAACCACGCGAGCGCAAGCGCACAACCGCGTAAGAACAACCGAGTACTAACCAATACACTATCGCAACAAGTCGCGAGTGCATGTAGCATCAAGGGAGCTATTGATAATTCTCAGTGGAAGTTGCTTGATGGTGTCAGGGCAGATTTCTTCTACTTTTTGAATATAGGGGTCTCGGGCTAGCTGCGCGCGGAACTCATCGATGGTTGGGAGGGGTACTAAGTCGGGCGCAAACAGTAATCCCAGGCGTCGGACAAGTTCATAAAAAGATCCTTTGAGGTCAATCTCGCAGTGATTCCGCCCGAACAGTAGAAGCCTGGCAGCTCTCGGTAGTCGCTGGCCCCCTATGGTGCAGCAATATCTTCGTCCATGGTTGTCAGCAGCTTTGGGGGAATAGTCAATTTCAATACTGCAGTTTTGCGGTAGACACGGGGATAGATAGGATTCAATCAGCTGGCGGTGATGGGGGTGGAGGGTCACGTGTTTTCGAAGAAGGCCGTGATCAATACTGGGCCTCTCTACTAGAGTAAGGATGGGCTGGCTCCAGGGGTGCTCAAAACTTTGAATGTGAAAGCCTCCGACCTGAAAGAGGCCCGTGGGGAATGATGGCTTGATGGACACCGGTCCAGCATTCCGATTGAAGGCAGCAGGGTTGCTCCTATATTTAGTCAACAGGAATTGAGTGGCTTGCCCTGCCAAGTCATCTGCTATGCCGTTGGCAACTCGAGGCAGGTAAATGAAGAGACTACCAGGGAGATGCAGACTTACGGTTGAACGAATGCTTTCCAATGGTTGGTGCATATCTATCCTTCGGAGACGGCCTGCAAATTGAAAGTACTTAATGACAGGGAGAATGTCACCTTGGATGACTACCTTGGGCGTGAGGCCGCGGCTCGATAAACGCTGCTTAACGACAACAGCAACTTCTTCAACCAGATACAAACAGGCCATGATTTCTGCTTCTATATTGTCTGAACAATGCGGCAGGGCGACTGACCGACATGCAATAACGCGAGACCGACCACCTTCTATTACATAGATGACATATCCAGCTCCTCCTAAGGCATCTTCATGCATACAACTGCCATCGAATTGGCCTACGATCTGTATCGAGGGTTCGGCTGGTGTATCGTCGGGAGGGATTGCTAAGATCAACTCAGTTTCTAACACTCTCACACTGGTAGTAAAGCACTCAGTCGTATGAGGTTAATTAAATCCCCCATTCCAAAAGTTATAGTCAGTATCGACTACTCAAATAATTCGGAAAGCCGCAAATTCGTTGCCGAACTGATCGCGTCAAACTTTCCGTTCGAAATCGTCATTCGCTCGTCAAACAAAATCGAGAGTACATAGAATAACAATTATAGAATCTGCAGCACCAGTGGAAAAGGCTCGAACACGAGTCACAAACAAATGTGCAGCGATCACTCTCACACTTTTTCTTTTTCAGCGACTTGTCGGGGGAAAAATGTCACAAGTCCGGTTGAAAGTTTCCGCAACCGCAAGTTTCTTCTACGTCCCCCACTTAGAGTCAAGTGGGTGGACATACATCTCAGAGGTCAAATTTCGACCAAGGTGGCTTGCTCTTTCCCCCGGGTGGGATCAAAGAAATTGGGTGGGAGAAAACGAAATGGCTTCTGCTAAATGAAAATCATGGCTCTTCAAATTCAAAGAGCCACCCTCCCTACCCTACCCTTCTTCCAGAGGAAAAGGCCATCAGACATTTATCATTGTCTGTGCAATCAAGTAGTGTTTAAACAGTTCAAAGTTTTTTTGGATTGAAATGGTTCTTTGAAAGAAAACATTTCATAGCACGACAGCATCGACATGCAGGAAATCCAAAAACAAAACTTTGGATACTAACTTCCGTTTAAATAAATGTTCAACAAGGTTCATGCTCAGAAAAATTCAGTTGAGGTGACAATGAACCCCAACCATCAAATCCAAGAACCTGTCAGAATATGTCGGAAGAAGTCTCCAGATCAAAGCGACACGCGCGTGTAAACACAGTGTATCCACGCAGGGATCGCGAGGACAGCGTATCGCACAGAGAGAAGAAAGAGCGCAACATAACAACCAGTGTGTACGCACCGAGTTAAACTCTATGCCGAGTATTAAGAAACAGTAGGATCAGCAAGCTGAGCCTTCACGTTTCTAACACTCTCACACTGGTAGTAAAGCACTCAGTCGTATGAGGTTAATTAAATCCCCCATTCCAAAAGTTATAGTCGGTATCGACTACTCAAATAATTCGGAAAACCGCAAATTCGTTGCCGAACTGATCGCGTCAAACTTTCCGTTCGAAATCGTCATTCGCTCGTCAAACAAAATCGAGAGTACATAGAATAACAATTATAGAATCTGCAGCACCAGTGGAAAAGGCTCGAACACGAGTCACAAACAAATGTGCAGCGATCACTCTCACACTTTTTCTTTTTCAGCGACTTGTCGGGGGAAAAATGTCACAAGTCCGGTTGAAAGTTTCCGCAACCGCAAGTTTCTTCTACGTCCCCCACTTAGAGTCAAGTGGGTGGACATACATCTCAGAGGTCAAATTTCGACCAAGGTGGCTTGCTCTTTCCCCCTCCGTCACAGCCGCACGTGATCACTTGACAGCTTCGAACCTCGCTAGCTCAGCTAGGTCTACATCAAACTGCTTTCGCATGAGAAAACTCAGTATGTATGGAGGCAACGAAATGTCGCCTTGGTTTTCTGCACCAAACATTCGGCACAAAGTTTCGGCATCATTCCTACTCGGTAGATCAGCCGGGTTGGATGCCGAAGGCACCCTTTCGCACCAAGCACTGAACGGAAGAATGGCGTCCAGGAGGCTGATAAGGGATACCAAGAGAAACATTGCATTGGACGCAGAGCTACGCTTTATCATCGTCATTCTCGACGACTCATTGTCAATGAAAATCAAACCATATCTTCTGTGCAGCGAGTGTCGGAGATGCCAACGAATGCATATGTAAGCAAAGAGCTCGATTTCGCATATGAGTTGCTCCCCCACGGTTTCGCTCCAATACCGTAAAAGCACTTCTGGAACCGTCCCAGAAAAGACCCAACGTTTGTTTTCCAAAGGATCGTAAACAAATGCGCCCCAAGTCCCAGTCCCGCTTTCAAAGGCACCATCACTATAAATAATTATAGGTGTGTCAGAATCCTGGAGCCCAATCACTCGAGGCGTCACAGACTTGGTAATCACTTCCAGGTAGTCGCAAACTTGTTGAGCCTCTGCTTCAGACACCCCTCTGTGATAAACCCAGTCATTCAAAGCGTTGGTGCCCAGCTTGAATTGGTGCCCTAGGACAAAGCCGCCAGCAAAGTTCATCAGGCCGGCAAGGGACGCAGCAGTCTTTGTGGATCGCCTTCCTTCAGTTTTCAGCTGTTTTATCAGGTCCAGTATTCGCTCCAACCTCCCTGGTTTGTTGCTCACAGTCAGGTTCCCCGACCAGAGCTCTTGCAAGTTGTACTGAACGCCCAGAGCAATAGGCTCCGCTGAAAACCCTACCGCCTTCTTTCCTTGCATAGCATGTCGCCAACCCAAAACGTTCAGGACCGCATCCATAATCTTGGTTGATAACTCTGCGAGCGGTTCAACTTCGAAGACGGGGAAATCATCATAGAAAACACTCATTATGAATCCAAACTTGTGCACCAGCAAATGCCAAATACTCCGGCTGATTTTGTTGAAGGAGAACACAGCCGACGAAGCACCAAAGGGGAGTGAGCTGGTAGTAAATAACTGCCAACCCTCAGACTCCGTGTTAAAGCCAAGAACCCCGTGCTTCAGGGAATCCTTGTGGATGGGCACCTGCTTGTACGCTTTGCTGAGGTCAACGCATCTTCCCAGCCAGTTCGGTTGCAACTGCATTGCACTATCCCAGTCACCCTCGAGGATCTCGCCAGAGCTCAAGGGTACAACAACTTTGTCGCGTCGTGCACATACCAGCAACATGAAGCGCAACATGCCCACTATGAAGTCAGTGTCCTGCAACGCCAAATATGAAGAGGATGCGTAGGCAGAGTTAATTCCAGAATCTCTGTGATTGTCAATCACTCTGATCTTCTTCTCCTCCCCTTGGTAGAGACAGAACCTTTTTGTTAGGCTCCATTGATCCGTACCCAAACGCTGAGTCAGTTGGGCCTCAGTAAACGGCCCCTCCAGAAAACCCGCTGCCACTTCTTCCATGCTCTCGCGCTTCAGATCAGCAGCCTGCTCAATCTCCTCTTCAGTCATTGCTTTACCCATCAGCGCCTTGCGTTTCCAGATCGCCTGGTGGTCCAGCTGCTCCACCGTCATGGTGGCCGGAGCGTACTTGGTCATGTAAAGTGGCGATGGATCTTCAGGGCCTGTTAAACGCACGCCTTCTTCCATATATTTGCAAACATTCATATCAGGGAAGGCTGTCTCTTCCAACAGCTTCTTCCACAACAATAAGGGCTTTCCTTCTGTCACCACTCTCACATGGTTCTCCATGCCTTCTCGCATCCGTTTCTCCTGCTCTGCCATTTCAAGTTTTAAC